CCCCCATTCCCTCCCCTTCCCCCCATTCCCTCCCTTTCCCTCCCCATTCACTCCCTTTCCCCCCCATTACCCCCCATTCCCCTCCATTCCCCCCATTCCCTCCCTTCCCCCTTTATTTCCCCCCTTTATTCCCCCCATTCCCCCCATTCCCCCTTTATTTCCCCCTTTATTCCCCCTTTATTTCCCAATTCCCCCTTTATTTCCCCCCCCCCCCTCTTCCCCTTTATTCCCCCCTTTTTCCCCCCATTCCCTTTATTTTCTTCCCCTTTCCCCCTTTCCCTCTTCCTCTATTTCCCCTTTCCCCCCTTCCATTCCCCCCCCTTTTTCCCCCTTTTCATTCCCTTCCTTTTCCCTCTTTTTCCCCCTATATTCCTCCTTTTTTCCCTATTCCCCCTTTTCTCCCCATTTCCCCCTTTTTCCCTTTATTTCCTCCCTTTCCTCCCCATTCTCTCCCTTTTTCTTCCCTTTTCCCCTCTTTTCCCCCCTTCCCCCCCATTCCCTCCCTTTTCTTTGTCCCTCTCTTTCCCCCTCCCCATATTCCCCCCATTCCCCCCTTTTCCTTCCCTTTTTCCCTTCTTCCCCCCATTCCTCCCTTTTCTTTTCCCCTCTTTCCCCCTCCCCTTTATTCCCCCATTCCCCCTTTTCCTTGCCCTTTTTCCCCTTCTTCCCCCATTCCCTCCCCTTCCCCCCATTCCCCAACCTTTTCCTCCCCATTCCCTGCCCTTGCCCCCATTCCCCCTTATTCCCCCATTCCCTCCCCTTCCCCCCCATTCCCAACCTTCTCCCCCCCATTCCCTCTCCTTCCCCCCCCATTCCCAACCTCCCCCCACATTCCCTCCCCTTCCCCCCATTCCCAACCTTCCCATTCCCAACTCTCCCCCAACCCCATTCCCAACCTTCTCCCCCCATTCCCAACCCTCCCCCCCATTCCCAGCCTTCCACCCCATTGTCAACCTTCCCCCCCCATTCCCAACCCTCCCCCAACCCCATTCCCTCCCCTTCCCCCCCATTCCCAGCCTTTTCCCCCCCCTTCCCTCCCCTTCCCCAACCCCATTCCCAACCTTCCCCACCATTCCCAGCCTTCCCCCCCTTCCCTCCCTTCCCTCCCCTTCCCCCCCATTCCCAACCTTCTCCCCCATTCCCTCCCCTCCCCCAACCCCATTCCCTCCCCTCCCCCAACCCCATTCCCAACCTTCCCAGGGGACATCCTGGAGATCGGCGCCCAATGGAGCATCCTCCGCCGGGACATCCCGTCCTTCGAGCGCTACATGGCCCAACTCAAGTGCTACTACTTCGACTACCAGTGCGTGCCAAAGGGGGTCATCCGATGCTCGGGTTCCTGCCCCATTCCCAACCTCATTCCATACCCAACCTCATCCCATTCCCATCCTTTCTCCCCATAGGGAAGCGCTGCCGGAATCTGCCTCCAAGCACCAGCTCTTGGGCCTCAACCTCCTCTTCCTGCTCTCCCAGAACCGCGTGGCCGAGTTCCACACGGAGCTCGAGCGGCTCCCGGCGCCCGACATCCAGGGCAACGTCTACATCCGGCACCCCGTGTCCCTCGAGCAGGTTGGGGGTTGGGGGGGGGGTCTCGTTGGGGTTTGGGGGGGTCTCGTTGGGTTCTGTGGGGGTCTCATTGGGTTTTGGTAGGGTCTTGTTGGGTTTTGTGGGGTTTTGGGGGGGTCTCTTTGCATTTTGTTGGGTTTTGGGGGGGTCTCGTTGGGGTTTGGGGGGGTCTCGTTGGGTTTTGTTGGGTTTTGTGGGGGTTTTATTGGGTTTTGGTAGGGTCTTGTTGGGTTTTGTGGGGGTTTTGTTGGGTCTCGTTGGGTTTTGTTGGGTTTTGGGGGGGTTTTGTTGGGTTTTAGTAGGGTCTCGTTGGGTTTTGGGGGGTCTCGTTGGGTTTTGTTGGGTTTTGGGGCGTCTCGTTGGGTTTTGGGGTGGTTTTGTTGGGTTTTGTTGGGGTCTCTTTGGGTTTCGTTGGGTTTTGGGGGGGTCTCGTTGGGTTTTGTTGGGTTTTGGGGCGGGTCTCATTGGGTTTTGGTAGGGTCTCGTTGGGTTTTGGGGGGTTTTGTTGGGTCTCATTGGGTTTTGTTGGGTTTTGTGGGGGTTTTGGTAGGGTCTCGTTGGGTTTTGGGGGTCTCATTGGGTTTTGGGGGGGTCTCGTTGGGTTTTGTTGGGTTTTGGGGGGGTTTGTTGGGTTTTGTTGGGGTCTCTTTGGGTTTCCTTGGGTTTTGGGGGGGTCTCGTTGGGTTTTGTTGGGTTTTGTGGGGGTTTTGGGGGGTCTCGTTGGGTTTTGGGGGGTCTCGTTGGGTTGTGGGGGGGTCTCGTTGGGCTTCGTTGGGTTTTGGGGGGTTTTGTTGGGTTTTGGGAGAGTCTCTTTGGGCTTCATTGGGTTTTGGGGGGGTCTCGTTGGGTTTTAGGGGGGTCTCATTGGGTTTTGGTAGGGTCTTGTTCGATTTTGGGGGGTTTTGTTGGGTCTCATTGGGTTTTGTTGGGTTTTGGGGGGGTTTGTTGGGTTTTCGTAGGGTCTCGGGTTTTGGGGGGGTCTCGTTGGGTTTTGGGGGGGTCTCGTTGGGTTTTGGGGGGGTCTTGTTGGGTTTTGGGGGGGTCTCGGGTTTTGTTGGGTTTTGGGCTGGGTCTCGTTGGGTTTTGGGGGAGTTTTGTTTGGTTTTTGGGGTTTGCTGGGTTTTGGGGGGTCTTGTTGGGTTTTGGGGTGGTCTCGTTGGGTTTCATTGGGTCTTGTTGGGTTTTGGGGGGGTCTTGTTGGGTTTTGGGGGGTCTCGTTGGGTTTTCGGGTGGTCTCGTTGGGTTTCATTGGGTCTCGTTGGGTTTTGGGGGGTTTTGTTGGGTTTTGGGGGGGTCTTGTTGGGTTTTGGGGGGGTCTCGGGTTTTGGGGGGTCTCGGGTTGTGGGGGGGTCTCGTTGGGTTTTGTTGGGTTTTGGGGGGGTTTTGTTGGGTTTCATTGGGTCTCATTGGGTTTTGGGGGGTCTTGTTGGGTTTTGGGGGGTCTTGTTAGGTTTTGGGAGTCTCGTGGGGTTTTGAGGGGTCTGGTTGGGTTTTGGGGGGGTCTCGTTGGGTTTTCGGGTGGTCTTGTTGGGTTTTGGGGGGCTTCTCGTTGGGTTTTGTTTGGTTTTTGGGGGTCTCGTTGGGTTTTCTTGGCTTTTGGGGGGGGATCTCGTTGGGTTTTGGGGGTCTCATTGGGTCTCGTTGAGTTTTGTTGGCTTTTGGGGGGTCTTGTTTGATTTTGGGGGGTCTCGGGTTTTGAGGGGGTCTCGTTGGGTTTTGTTGGGTTTTGGGGGGTCTCGGGTTTTGTTGGGTTTTGGGGGGGTCTCGTTGGGTTTTGGGGGGTCTCGTTGGGTTTTGGGGCTTCTCGTTGGGTTTTGTTGGGTTTTGGGGGGGTCTCGTTGGGTTTTGGGGGGTCTCGTTGGGTTTTGGGGCTTCTCGTTGGGTTTTGTTGGGTTTTGGGGGGTCTCGTTGGGTTTTGTTGGGTTTTGGGGGGGTCTCGTTGGGTTTTGGGGGGTTTCATTGGGTTTTAGGGGGGTTTTGTTGGCTTTTGGTCCCTCTTGATGCCATCTTGGAGGCGTTCCTTGCGTTCCGGGGGGCCCTGGTTGGCTTGGCGGCCCCACTGGGTGGGTTTTGGGGTTCCTTGGGGTCACTTGGGGGTCCCTCCCGGCCCTGTCCCCACAGTACCTCATGGAGGGCAGCTACAACAAGGTCTTCCTGGCCAAGGGCAACATCCCGGCCGAGAGCTACACCTTCTTCATTGACATCCTGCTGGACACCATCCGGTGAGCCCCCGGCCTGCCCCACACCCCCCTTGTGCTGCCCCCAAATCCCCTTGTGCTGCCCCCAAACCCCATTTTTCTCCCCCCAAACCCCATTTTCCTGCCCCCAACTCCCCCTTGATGCCCCCAACCCCAATTTACTGACCCCAAAACCCCTTTAGAAGCCCCCAAACCCCTTTTAGATGCCCCCAACCCCCATTTTCCTCCCCCAACCCCCATTTTCCTCCCCCCAACCCCCATTTTCCTCCCCCCAACCCCCATTTTCTTCCCCCCAAACCCCCATTTTCCTGCCCCAACCCCATTTTATACCCGCGCAACCCCATTCCCCCCCCAAACCCCATTCCCCCAACCCCATTTTTCCCCCAACCCCCATTTCCCCCCAAAACCCCCATTTCCCCTCCCCCAAACCCCATTTCCCCCAACCCCATTCTGCCCCCAACCCCATTCCCCCCCAAACCCCCATTTCCCCCCCAAAACCCCTTTAGATGCCCCCCAAAACCCATTTCCGCCCCCAAACCCCAAGTTACTGCCCCCAAACTCCATTCTCGCCCCAAACCCCCATTCCCCCAACCCCATTTTTCTCCCCCCCCAACCCCCATTCCCCCCCAACCCCCATTCCCCCCCAACCCCCCTTTAGATGCCCCCAAACCCCATTTTTCTCCCCCCAACCCCCCCATTCCCCCCCCTTTTCACCCCCCCTCCCTCCCCATAGGGACGAGATCGCGGGCTGCATCGAGAAAGCCTACGAGCAGATCCTGTTCAGCGAGGCCACGCGCATCCTCTTCTTCACCACGGCCAAGAAGATGAGCGACTACGCCAAGAAGGTCCTTGACAAAGGGGGGATGGAGGGGGGGAAGGGGGGGGGATTTTGGACCACCCCATTGACCCCCCCCCCACTTTTCACCCCATTGCAGAGGGGCTGGGTGCTGGGCCCCAATAACTACTACAGCTTCCGGAGCAGGCAGCAGAAGGCCGAGGAAGCTCCCATCCCCTCCACCGAGCTGGCCAAGCAGGTCATCGAGTACGCGCGGCAGCTGGAGATGATCGTCTGATGGGGGGGCCGTGGGGCATCTATGGGGGGTATCTATGGGGGGCTGGGGGTATCTATGGGGGGCTGGGGGCATCTAGGGGGTGTTGAACATCACCTACGGGGTGTTGAACATCACCAATGGGGTGTTGAACATCACCTATGGGGTGTCCAATGGGACCTATGGGGTGTTGAACATCACCTATGGGGTGTCCAATGGCACCTATGGGGTGTTGAACATCACCTACGGGGTGTTGAACATCACCTATGGGGTGTCCAATGGCATCTATGGGGTGTTGAACATCACCTGTGGGGTGTCTGATGGGACCTATGGGGTGTTGAACATCACCTATGGGGTGTCCAATGGGACCTATGGGGTGTTGAACATCACCTATGGGGTGTTGAACATCACCTATGGGGTGTCCAATGGGACCTATGGGGTGTTGAACATCACCTGTGGGGTGTCCAATGGGACCTATGGGGTGTCGAACATCACCTATGGGGTGTTGAACATCACCTATGGGGTGTCCAATGGCATCTATGGGGTGTTTAACATCACCTGTGGGGTGTCCAATGGGACCTATGGGGTGTTGAACATCACCAATGGGGTGTCCAATGGGACCTATGGGGTGTTGAACATCACCTATGGGGTGTTGAACATCACCTAGGGGGTGTCCAATGGCACCTATGGGGTGTTGAACATCACCTACGGGGTGTTGAACATCACCTATGGGGTGTCCAATGGCATCTATGGGGTGTTGAACATCACCTGTGGGGTGTCTAATGGGACCTATGGGGTGTTGAACATCACCTATGGGGTGTTGAACATCACCAATGGGGTGTCCAATGGGACCTATGGGGTGTTGAACATCACCTACGGGGTGTTGAACATCACCTATGGGGTGTTGAACATCACCTATGGGGTGTCCAATGGGACCTATGGGGTGTTGAACATCACCTATGGGGTGTTGAACATCACCTATGGGGTGTCCAATGGGACCTATGGGGTGTTGAACATCACCTATGGGGTGTTGAACATCACCTATGGGGTGTCCAATGGGACCTATGGGGTGTTGAACACCACCTATGGGGTGTCCAATGGGACCTATGGGGTGTTGAACATCACCTGTGGGGTGTTGAACATCACCTATGGGGTGTCCGATGGGACCTATGGGG